CGATTTAAAAATGGTGATTTTGATGTTCAAGATAGAGAACGCAGTGGTGCACCAAAAAAGTTTCAAGATGAAGAATTGGAAACATTACTTGCTGAAGATCTATGTCAGACGCAATCCGATGTTGCAAAATCATTAGGAGTTGATCGAACAACAGTTTCGAAACGACAGCATTAGGAATGATACAAAAGGAAGGATCTTTGGTGCCATACGAACTGAAGCCGAGAGACGTCGAAAGGCGTCTTGTCACGTGTGAACAGCTGCTTCAACGACAAAAAAGGAAAGATTTCTTACATCGTATTGTGACTGGTGATAAAAAGTGGATATATTACAGTAATCCCAAGCGTAAATAATCGTGGGTTAAGCCCGGCGAAGCAGTAGCATCAACGCCAACCCTTATAGAAATATCATACTAAGAATCATTGACAATTACTTATTATCCAGTATTTTTAATACTGAAAATAAGTAATTATTAATAATTCTTAGTATGATATTTCTATAAGGGAAAGCGGAATATCCACGGTTCCAAGCTCATGCTCTGCATTTGATAGGATCAGCTGGGGGTAGTGTATTACAAGCTGCTCCAACCCAACCAAACCTTCACAGGAGATCTCTATCGACGACAATTGATGCGTTTGAGCCGAGCATTGAAAGAAAAACGGCCGCAATATGAGCAAAGACACGACAAGGTGATCTTGCTGCATGATAACGCTCGGCCGCACGTCGCGTCACCGGTCAAAACATACCTGGAAACGCTGAAATGGGAAGTCCTACCCCACCCGCCGTACTCTCCAGACATTGCGTCTTCTGATTACTATTTATTTCGATCGATGACTAACGGCCTGGCTGAGCAGCACTTCACTTCGTATGAAGAAACGAAAAAATGGATCGATTCGTGGATAGCCGCAAAAGAAGTGTCGTTTTTTCGACGTGGAATTCAAATGCTGCCAGGAAGATGGGAAAAAGTAGTCTCCAGCGGTGGGCAATACTTTAATTGATTTGTTTTTTTATTATTTTTTTTAAATAAAGGATTTATTTTCACAAAAACGGCGAGAACTTATTCACACTCCCAATATATATATATATATATATATATATATATATATATATATATATATATATATATATATTTGGAGTGTGCATTAATTTTAAGGGATTTTTTGGTAAAACTACGGCTTTAATGTGAAAAAAATGGTTACAAATTGATCATTCAAAATATTGTCCATCGCTAGCCGCTATTTTTTCCCATCTTTCTGATAATAGGTGGATTCCACGTCGAAAGAACGACACATCATTTGAGGTTACTCACGAATCGACCCATTTTTTGGTATCCTCATCAGAATAGAAGCGCTGCTGTGAGTCAGGCTATGAGTCATCAATCGAAATAGGTAGAAATAGGTGGTAATCGGAAGGAGCAATATCTGAAGAATACAGCGGGTGTAGCAGGGCATCCCAGTTAAGCGCGTCTAACGTTTCCTTGACGTTTCGCAACATGTGGCCGACCGTAGTCGTGCTGGAAAATCACTTTGTCATGTCTTTTCGCGTAATCTGGCCGTTTTTGCTTCAATGCTCGGCTCAATTGCATCAACTGTTGTTAGTAGCGTTCCCCAGTGATGGTTTCGTGTGATTGGAGTAGCTCATACTGAACTACATCCAGCTTATGCCACCAAATACAGAGTATGAACTTGGCGCCATAAATATTCGGCTTTACTGTTGATGGTTTGCCTGGCCTGCACCATGATTTTTTGCGTTTCGGATTATTGTAGCGTATCCATTTTTTATCACCCGTCACGATACAAAAAACTGTTTTTTCTGTGTCTTTGAAGCAACAATTCACAGGTTATTTTGCGCCTCTCGACGTCCCTCGGCTTCAATTCGTACAACAATTTCCTTGCTTTTGAATCATTCAAATGGCCTTCAAACGCCTGGAAATCGTTGATCGATCAACATTTAATGATTCTGCAAGTTCTTCTTACGTTTGACTCGGATCTTGATCGAGTGAAGCTTCCACTTCCTCATCTTCAAACTTTTTCGGCTGGCCTGGACGTTCCTTGTCTTCCGTGTCAAAATCACCTTTTTTATAGTGTCGAAACCAGTACTCACGTATTGAAATCGATGGAATATTATCACCATAAGCTTCCGACAACATTGTTGACTTTCAGCAGCACTTTTCTTCAAATGGAAGCAAAAAAGCTAAGCTCCCCGCAAATTGCGTTTTGTTGGCACAAAATTTGACATACTATTCAATGCTCAAAAAAACAATGTTGTTCAGCAAAATAACACATACTGAAAACTAAAGCCACATAATGGTGCTTTGACATGAAGGTAACAAGGATATGGTCCGAAGCGATATAGTACTAGTTACGCCATCTCTTGAAAATCCTTTAAAATTAATGCACACTCTCAATATATATATTTTTTTTGTATTGTCATTTTTTATTTACATCATATGCACACATTATTTATTTATATTATACACATACACATATGGTGTTCTAGAATAATTTTCGAATCTTACGTGGAAGCATAACATAGATTGAGGAAAACATAAAAGTCCGGTAATTATGCAGAATAATGGCGACCTCATAGATTTCAATCACCTTGACATATGTTGTCAAGGTCACTCTCCTGAATAATCTTTAGAAGGTTTTAGCTGTCGCTTAATAACTTTT